ATTTGCTAAGTATTTCACAGATTTCCTTATCTGCATTTCTGATAAGAGAGCATAACAAGTTTCTTGGGGGGGGGAGGGTTGTTTGTTTGTTTGTTTTTTAAGGAAGAAATACCAAAAGCATTCTCGGGTATTTAAACGGGCAGCATCAAATGTAGTTCAATCACAGGAATTACTTTATTTTTATGGGCCTTGATGTGTCAGGTGTAAGGGTCATGGTCTAGAGCAGGTGGCCCCTACGGGGACAGAGGCAATGTTAGTGACAGGACTGTTGAGTAACTGCACATTATTGAAACTCTGGTTGACATTGGCCATGCTCTACTGTAGGGAAGCCTGCAGTAGTGTTGCATCCCATCATTTTCACTAAGTATCAACATGAGCCCTGAGGAGAAGAGGGCTAATGGAGAAACTGGAGGATGGGAGGAGGAGAGCTGCTTTGAAATGTCCTTTTTCAGCCACACTTTCCAAACCCATCTTTTGAAGCACTGCCAAGTATCTTAAGAGTTTTTTCAGCCGTGTGAATCTACAGCTGTTCTAATCATACACTTTGTATGAACAACAGAACCACCAGAACAGTTTGTTCCATGAAAGGTCCTCAACTCATCACAGGTGGAAACATCATTTTTCCTTAGCTTCCCTTTCATACCACAGAAAAAAACCCAACCTGTCTCCTTGGCCAAGCAAATGGATTCCTCCCATGACCATTTTTAAATGAGAAATGACCACATTCTCATCTTCAAAGTCACCAACAGGATCAGGTCTTCAAACATCCAAATTGTTTCCATTACTTCACGGACTTCCTAATAGCAAAACCATACTTATTTGAACGATTTATGCCTTTATTTACCCTGGAAAATATATATAGCTCAGTTATACATTCAGTTAACTGAATCTTGGGAACTTTACAAATGAGTCATAATTACAGATGTCATCTGCATGTCACTCGTACTAGCTTTGAAAGGCCCAAAGCCAGATCATGCATCAGTACTAGACACCAAAACTTTGATGAAACAAAGCTGAGGGCTAACATCCCTTGTCACAGGAGCAAGATTCTTCTCCCAGCAAAAAAGGTACGGGTGTGAGGGGTACCTTTAGGGTGAGGTTGCTTTATAACACCATAAATAAAATGCAAAGTTTCATGACTGTCTCAATGATCTAAGCACCTTCTTTTATGGGATTTCAACTTAGAGGCACTCTGGAGCCAAAATCCACAACCTGTAAAAATTAGCTAGCTATTTCTGGTTTTGCTTTCCAAGTCAAGTAACCGAAATCACACTGAGCTGAGTATACTACACTTACAATTTAAAGTATTATCATTTGAATATTTCTGTTCAGGAGTCTTCTGTACCTAAACCCATCCCAGTTAAAAGTCTAAGAATCATTAACTCTGAACTGCAGAATATGTACTCTTTAGAAACGGAACAAACATTTCTGAATGTATGATCAAGAACCACCAAAGCTCTCTTTTTTTTTTTTAGTGAATGTTCCTAGTTTCAGAGCAGAGCAGAATCATGGAAAGCAAAGGGTGTGGTGACCAGTTGAAACTGCTTAAGTTTTGGTAAGCTAAATATAACTCTTCTAATGAAAAATGCTACCTTCAGGTTCCTGAAATTTGCTATGACTTTACTTTAAGAAATTTATTCAGATTTAAAATTTTGTAACTGGAAATTATGGTCAAAAATTTGAAGAGCTATTTAAAAGGAAAGCACTTTGCTTAAGAAATCATTTCATAAAAGCAATGGGTGAGGTCACAGCACATAACTACTCCTCTTAGCTACTTCACTTGGAAAGTACATATATTTTTGTATGCCAAGAAGGCACTGATACAGGAATATATGAATTTAATATGATTTTGGATCAACGCATGTGCTACTGTCTGTATAAACGCATGGAAAAATTACTGTATGACAATGGTTTCCTCATACTGCTTAAGGAAGAAAACTTTCCTTATCTAATTCTCCTATCGTAGCACACAATTATACACATACACATTTCATAGGTTTTAACACAGGTTTATTTACCTAATGGTCATAGAAAACACATCTGTGATGCAGAAAGCATGTTTGCCCTTTCAACAATATCATTTTTTATAGCAAGTTTCACTAGAAAAGTGAGTGAAAATGTTATACGTGAAATGAATCTGCAACTAAGATGCATTAAATTCTTGATAAACATGCAGCAGTCACTAGAGCAATACTGCAACAATCTGAAAAAGAGGTAAATTTAAATAAATAAAATGAAATATGACCAGGCACAAAATTTCAATGCTTACAAAAAAATTACTGAATACATTTTCACTTCTATTTCTATTTCATCCTTAAGATACTATGGCACCCTAAGACATGAGCGCTGCAATGGGTCACCCATTTAACTATGCGAGGGTAGCAGTATCACCTCTTGAGTTAACAAAACCTTTATTTCTTTTATTATTTATAATCCTTGGGTGGGGGGGTTTCCCCTGGATTCTCCTGTACACATGCTGGACAGCCTGTCACTGCTCGGGTTATTAGCTCTGATCAGCTCACAGCTCTAGGTGGTATAGCTGCAGGCTAAAGCAATGGACTGTATACAGATGGAACCCCGTGCTCATGCAGAGCACTACTGAATGTATACGGGCTCCCCATAGGGACAGATATGAACCCGGTGTGATCAAGTAAATTGTAAAGACCCATACTTGTAGAATAGCTTTGTTTCCTATGCTACCAGTGCATTCACCAAAATTTCCTAAAGACAAAATGAAACAAAGGTATGTTAATAGAGGAGTTGTTCAAACAAAGTCAACATAAACCAGAAAAAAATCTTACACTGAGAGCAAACTAAATGAGTACCTATGCCACTTAGTGTCAACAGCACAATTTCATACATGTGCGCGCGCTCTGTAGCGCACAAACCAAACCTCAGGAGTTTTGATTACTTAATTATACAGCTTATGTTCATAGCTTATAATTGTTTATAGCAGAGCACAGCCTATTTACGCTGATTAACACCCATCCCTGTGTACTAATAAGACAAATTTATACCAGGAATAATTTCACAATGGATTTAAGAGATGATAAATTCTCCTGTTCAAGGCATAGGAAAACAAGCTTAAGTAGTTTTGTGCTTTCCCTCCAATGTAAACTAAAAGGCGCACAAGAAAATTACCAAACTGATGCTACTGTCTCTTTCCTAGCAAGGATATGAATTTGGGTCTTGTTCATCTATCTGATCATAAAAATTGCACTAGAAATATTCAGTTTCCACCTCTAGGCTCCACACAACTTCCACAAACCTCATTTTCCTCAGGATACGCAACTGAACTCTATTCAGGAAAAAAAATTGAAATTATAGTTTTGCCTAATAACACAAATAAAATCGATTCTGATAGCATTTTGCTTTAAAACTTTTGGAGGTAAAAAATTGGAGGAGCTGCAAGGCAACAGTCCGTAACCCACTGTTCAAGAACCTCCAATACTGCTTGTTGCCACAGAAACTTAAGGAGCTGAAATCGAAGTCCTCTTCCCACAAGGAGAAAGTTCAGGAGAAAAAAAAGACCAGAAAAACAAACAAACAAAAAACAACCCCATACAACTTTGGTCTATCCCCAAGGTTACCAAAAGGAAAGAAAACTTTACAAGTAGCTCTTATGTAAAATATTTTTAATTGACATTCCTCTTTCAAGACATCACTTTACCATAATAGCTTTTCTTCATTTTTCCCCAACAGGAATGGAGTTCAATGTAAAAACTGTTCAATTACAAAAATAAACAAAAATCACTACATGTTAAATCCTTCTGGCATGATTCCAAAAATTCCTATAGCACTGCTCCATTTTGTATTTTGGGGTTAGTGTGAACCCCTAAAAAACAGTTGCTTGAAAATAGGCTGGTCCACTTTAACTAAATTTGACTCCAAAACATTTGTCACTCAAGGGAGAGCCTCACACTTTCTTCTGTGATCTGTTGGGGATCATGAAATCCCATAAAATCAGCCTGAAACACTGAAATTTTCATTGTGACTTTTTAGAGTAGTGGTTCTCCAAGAATTCTGTTTTCTTAGCCTGATTTCTGCAATACTAGTTGTGGATGCCTTATATGTTTGTTTTCTGAAATTATCTATTACTCTTTGAAGATTTTGTTATATAGCTTAGGTATCTCATCTCAGTCAGACTGAGCTAACTCTCCATGTAACTTACTCACAAAAGTTCAATGACCTTTCCCTAACTTTCTGACTTCCTCCTCCTGCAGCACACCTTGATGACAAGTAGCAAGGGCCCTCTATTGAAAGCATGCCACTTGTTATGATGTACATGACATATATTAGGATAATTCTAGGGCTCATTTTCTTCCTCTCACTCTTACATCCCTCATACAGCAACATTCTCAGGTAACCTTGGTGTGTAAGTAGTTCATGCCGGTACTCCAAAAAAGTTCCAAATTCCTTCCAGGAATATATGAACAGTAGAGTACCAGTAGTAAGGGTTGATATTCCATTTTAAAAGACTACTCATCCAGGACCCTTCAAAAGAAAATGAAAAAATGCAAAAGCAGATACATCAACCTATTTCAACTTCTGTCTAACAGGGCCATCATTAAAATATTGGAGGATGGAGAAGGAAGCAGCTAGCAGGAAACATTTAAATAAACTTATTTATAAGGACGGTAGGAGGCCTTTCCTGAAGGCTCGCATGAGGCAATTCCATTTTTATAAGTATACTTACAGGAATATAATTCTCATGTTGCTCTGCCACCACATATTCCAGACAGAGATGTGAGAAGTTTTCCATCAATCATACTAAATTCCACAGCTCTTGACTACAAGTTATGTTGGAAAATAGTCCACATCACAAAGCAGTCAAAGCCAACATGACAGTTTTATATGCTAGTTTCACAGTGAATGGATAAGATGCAGATCATACATATTAATTCTCTGACTACTTGACTTCAAAAAAAAAAAAAAAAAAGGATTACATTCAGAACACAAAAGTGAATACATCTGATCTCCAATGCATATTTGAATCTTACCTTGCACTTTGTCAGAACACAGTTCCTTGGCCCTTTCTCTCATTATTTGTGGAATCAAAACATCTTTTTCTACATGTCTCAGCTTAGCATTCTCTGTAAGAGAGCAAAAAAATATTTTTCTATACATCAAGAAAGTGAATCTACAGAAATAATATAACACTGTTTATAGAAGATATACTATATCTGTCACAAATTAGCAGCAGAACATACCGTGGAAGCTCCACACATGGATCAAAAGGTAGGAAAGTCTAAGATTTAAAATTGCTCAGATACCAATATCAACATTATCCTGAATATTCCTTTTCTGCTCCTCAGTGTGCACAACAAACTAAAAATAATGGGAAAGATTCTGGCAGCATATTCTAATTTCTTTCTTACTAAAATGTGGTCTGGATAAAACCTGCATTGAATTGAGAATTACATTATAGTTCAGGGTACTAATATCATCTTTAAGTACCAACTGTTTTATTCCTTATTCACTGTCACAAAGCTGAGAAACATAACACATATTAGAGCACAACTTGAAACTTTTATTACTATGTGGAACTCTTAAGTACTTAAAACAAACAAACAAACACACCCTAGGCAGCTGCTTAAATACACAGTCTGGGAGTTTCTTCACTGAGAAATTAAACTTAACGAGAACAAATGTTACTGTCTGAATTCTACACTTAAAATACCAGTTTTCATTCAGTTCTCTCACAACAGAATTCAGTACTCAGAGTACAGTTAGTGGTTTTGGATATAGTTAAATATCTTGGACCACTTAGAAAAAAGCACTGAATTTTGAAATCCACTCCCTTCAAAATCAAAAGAAATCAGAATTTATCAAGCACAGCTTTACTTCCTTGCTTTTGAGTTAAAAAATATTTAATGGCTATTTGTTTAGAATATTTTAGTCTTATACAGTTAATACCAAATACCTCAGTTTCCTCCTCAAACATACTATTTAGTCTTTAATATTGAGGTTATCCTACAGCATAGCATCAGCTCTGATACTCAGCTTACCAAAACTCTATACTGTCAGACATGCTATTACCTCAAGTGACAATAATCTCATTTAAAATTTCATATTTAAAAAAACAAATTAAATGAAGAAAATTGAAATGTGATGTACCAAAAGTAAGGAAGCTTGAGCAAAGTCTAGGTTACCTCACTGTTTCAAGCATTAGCTGTTTTTCAGAATATCTACAGTTACTTCCAGATCAAGAGACAACGCATAGACTAACATCAGTCCCAGCTCTTTCATCAGTCCCAGCTCACCATCTTTTAAAGTCTGCCAAGGCTGTGGGGTCAGACAATACCGAACCTGTGATATTACTACAGGAATCTGGTAACAAAACAGAAGACTATAATGAGCAATATATAGAATCAGAACTAAAGACTGTCTTTCTCCTCATAAACCTCTTGCCTGGAATTTCTATACCAAAAGAAAGAAAACAAAAATATCTTCTGTGAACACAACAGAAATACTAAACACAAATAGCTCAAGACTTACATTTGCTCTTATGCTCTAATTTTCATGACTGAGACAACACGTTTACAGATAAATATTGTTCATCTGAACTGTCTTCAGAAATCAGTACGATTACTGTACAGAGACTATTTATTGTTATGGACAGCACAAAGCTATCATAAATTCCTAACAAGCAGCACAAACCAGTTCAGCTGAACGGCATGGCAGAAAACAGCACCAGAAAGCAATGCTACTCAACTCTGCTTTGAGCAACTTTAGTCAAGACAAGCTGGCACTACTGCAGTCCTGGCCTCTCTCAATCCCTGTGATGCTCTTTTCTCTCTTTTCTCTCATGTCCCACAGCCCTGCAGTGAATTAAAAAGGGGGAAGCTTATTTGGTTTAAAGGTAAATAAATTTTTTGTCAGGCAATCTTTCAGCTAGATAAATTCTCCAATCCAGTTCACTATACAACTTCATAAACAGCCCAAGAGAGGGAATTGCATTAGGCTAGGAAGAAGCAGAGGGAAGTCTATGGCTTTCATCAACAACACTGGCTTAAACAAGCTTGAAATATAGCCTAAGCTTTTTTTTCCCCCCGAACAGCTGCTCAGGGTAGGCAAAGATTAAGCTGATCTACAGGTCTGAATACAGGTAAAAAAGAGGGTTGCTAACTGCCAGCAAAAGGGAAGATCTAGAAGGACGCCACTGCCCTCACCCACTCCGCTCATTTCAGCACCAGTACCAATTTAACCACATAGTGAGCAGCCAGTTCAAGGCAGAAAATTAACTCACATACATACAAAAAACGTTTTTCAGATTGTCTACACTTTAAAGTAACCAGATCTAATTAGCACAGTTCTAATAATTACTTCACTTACTTTTAACCATCAGAGCAGTTTAGGTAGCAAGTGGAGGAACATGAAATTCTACATGGACTACAGTGGTGTTGTCTGCTGCTCAGTCCTGAAGTCAGTGTAGACATTGCTATGACAACTGTGCCTCCAAATTCAAGTTCCAGTCATAAGAAAGCACCTTGCCCAGCATAATGGGGCATACTTCATGACTCAAAAAATCACCATAAAAGAACTGCTGGATTCTAGGGATGGTATTAAAGAAACATACATGCAAAAACTTGATTAACTGAAAAACTGTATTTCATGCTGACTCCCAATAGGATAAAAAAAATTTCAACTTCTAGCACACTTTTTGTCCATATACACGATATATCAGAGAAACTCCAAATTGAAGTTATCAAACTGCAACATAGCATCTCATCAAGATCAGATTTTCTTTGTATTAAATAACCCAAAAGTGGAGTCCTCTGCATCAAGAGGTCTTTGCAGAGATGGAAAACGTAGCAAATTGCACAGAAACTAATCAGGGCCTGGGAAGAGTAGCTGGATTTTCCCTCTTGGCACAGGCCACTAGAAGAAACCACAGCTCCCACAACAGCAAAGGCACTGGACTTCAAAGCAAAGAACCTAAAGAGCATAAGCGAACAGGAAGGCAAACGAAGGATAAAAAGGAAACAGAACAAGGGCTTCCTCCAAATAAAGAGATGTCTCTGTTAACCAAAGCAAAAACAAAACTCCGTAATTCTTTCACTGCTCAGGGCTAAGTATCCTATTTTCCTTTAGACTATTCAAAATAAGAGGAAACTCCTCTAGGAGCTCTAGGGAAACTCCTTTTTAGTCCCATGTTATCAGGCCTGCAGAGGCTGAAATGAAAATGCAGGAAGGATAGGACACATTAAAACAGGGCAGCATCCAATAAGAAGCGAGAAGAGAGCTACAACAGTAATTCAAAGGTAACTAATACAATGGTATAAAGGAAGTAACAAAACATAATAAAGAACATCTGCAATCTTCACCTACGGTCTTCCACAGAAAGATGGTTGATAAGAGTCAGTTTTTAAAGCCATGAAAAATATAAACAATTCAAATCATCTTATAATGTCTAGTTGGTAGTTTTATGCAACTTGAATGCAACTATCTCTCCAAACAGCTCAAATGTTCAGTTTGGGAAATATATCTACTGATGAATTCAAACTGTAATGTCCAAGAGTATTTTAACATTCCTTCTCATTTTTAAACTATTGCTTTACACTTAAATAGTACTTTTTATTCTAGGATCTTAAACCAATTTAGTGAAGTTGGTATCCCTAGCACCTGTGCAAAAATATTTAAAAACAAGGCACAAGTATTAACTGCAGCTAGAGGAATATGCTTACATGTGGAGCGTTTCTGATGGCAATGTATACGCAGTCGGAAAAAGATCATCATCAAACCAACCTAGTCAGCTGTGCAGTAACATCATATGGCAAGAACTTTCAGAGAAACAGCGCCTCAGAAGCAAGACTTCATCATAAAACATGAGATGGCCAGCCGTGATGTGAAATCACCAATTCCTTTTGTCATTTTTTGACAGTATCACAGATTCCAGAATTGGGTTTTTTTTCCTTTTAAAAGAAGTTCACTACTCTGCTCTAAGAAAGATATTTCTTATATTAATACCGTATTTGCTGCTGATCAGTCCCTACAGAACCTGCATTACAACACACCTATTGCTGCTTTGCCAACTGTTTTATTTTCTTTTCAAAACATCTACAAAATTAATTATCCTTACGAAATATTTGGAAATTCTACACGCAAGAAGTCTATTTTCCTAGAGTTTACCTTTCTCATTTGAAATTTGGTATCCGCTGTTGCCATTCGCATTCTCCATCTACTTTGTCTCGTCTTCTGGAGAGGCTACTTGAGACAACCGTGGCTCTTGGTTGCAAAGTGGGCTAACACACTACCGCTCTCAGCTTCTAGTGGACCAAACAAATATTAGCAGCAGCTCTTCCTCTTCCCCTCCACAGCCATACATTGGGCAGGCTTGTTAAAGTAAGTGTCTTTGAGATGCTACTTCTTTGTTGCATTCTTCTGTTATTTGCTAGTACCATCAAACGTTACAAGGGACAGACTGATGAACATAAGCTAATTGAATAAAGGATGCTTCTTTGGGAAAAATCAGATTAAATACGATTAACAGTAAAATCTAAGTATTTTATACACAAATATACACAGAAGCCAGAATTTAAAACCAAATGCAGTCTTGCAGGTGTTAAAGCAAGGGCACTGGCTCCTAAAAATGCAGTTAAGGAGTGAGCCAAGGAATTAGTGTGGTAATACTCCTGAATGTGTCCTGAAGACAGGAAGAGATTAGGACACTCCAGTATACTGCCATTCCTTGTGGAGATGAGCAACTGAAGAGATGATAAAGAACAGGTCAAAGGTATAAACTGATAGTTACCAGGGTAAAGAGAGAAGGGGAGAAAAATTACAAATAAAGGGAGTGCCTCTGTGAAAGAGAAACTGTTTTCCATATCACTACAGGCCAGTGTAAAGAATTAACGGAAAGAGAGATAAATTACTAAGCTGGGACTTTTTCCTATTCAGTAAAACACTAAAAACACTTTTTTAACTTCTTTTTTTTTTTAATACAAATAAAATCTGTGGGTTCTGGCAAATCTCAATGCTTAAAACGGTCCTCCAGTTGCATACAATATGTAGAGCACAAGACTACAATTGTAATAGTTTTCTGTGGTTGATTAAAACCCTCAGCTGCAAAAACTATTTATTGCCTTGGAAA